GTGGATCCAACATCAGCCTATTCAAAGGGGCTCTCGCACCAGCCGGTGCTTCTAATTCCTTAACGTTGGATTTCGAAGAATGGCAGATTATTTCATTGTATATCTTCACCAACCTAACAGAAGTGTGGTCGTACATCGAGTAAGTTCTCGGTACATTGTTTTACAACTTTTAATTCCTTTGAAGTACTCTTATTCCCGGATAAATTTGATACAGTCGATACGTCGCCATATTCTCGTATGGAGCGCTGATCCAAAAGGATTCCGTCGAAGAGTATGAGCTTCTGGCAAAGCATGGACGCGGCTATCCCGGTTTCATCTCTTGGTTAAAACAAACGGTAATTTCCATTAGACAATTTCATTTGTTCGTCTAATTTGTGGCTAATGCAATAATCCCTTTCGTATTAAACTTGTAGGCTAATTCAGAGCTTATAGACGCCGAATTGAGACAAGTCGCTAATGTTTTGACTATAAGGTCCGTTCAATTGAAAAATACGACATCAACGGGTATCGCTTTCGTACCTATGGCAAAGAGCTATGTATGGCTGACCGAAAGACTACAAATTGTTGTGTCTCTGCTATCGGTGAAGGAGATACCAAGTATTATGGAAGAGTTGAAGCAATTTATGAACTTCAATTCTATGGTGCAAACCCACCAAACGTCGTAGTCTTCAAATGTTATTGTTTCCAACCGAAGGAGACTAGAAGGACTCATGAACATATAGGGCTACTGGAAATCAATCAAAGCACCCATTTGGATGTTCCCGATGTTTATATTATGGCTCAACAGGTAACCCAAGTTTTCTATCTACCGTGGGCCTGTCAAAGTGATCCTAATCTCAAAGGTTGGGATGTCGTTTATGAAGTGTCGGCACGTGTTAGACCACCTCCCCCAATGAAGATGATTATGCACCTCACATTAACCCAGACACATATGAAGGAGAATTCTTCCAAGAAACGCATCTTTCCAAAAAATGTTTCAAGAACCGCTCTACTTCACCCCAGAACATTAAAGTAGACAGCGACAGTGAACCCGACTTCACCCCTCAGCCAGAAGAAGAGCCTGAACTAGAAGTGGTTACTGTTGCGGATGACCTATCAATACTTGACAGATTACGTAGAGGTGGCCTTCCACGTGATTATGATGCATTTATTAATGATGATGATGAGCATGTCATTACTAGTATTGATGATGATGATGCATTTATTGATCTCGAAGCATTTATTGAACCAGATTATGACTAGGTATTCAATTTTTTATGTTGTACTTGATTTATACAGTTACTTGTATATTTTTCTTACTTTGTATGGTTGTTTGTTATACATAGTGCCATGGTCTTGATGTCCTTCCCCGTCGGCCCTCGCCCGCTTTATGATTCAGATGTGGTAAATTCTCTTTCATAACTATTTGTTGCATTTCTCATTTATGACAATTATGGCCATCGAGTTGACATAGAGATATTTTAATCTAGGAGGTATGTGAACCGGAATTTGAAATCGACCCTCTTGTCGAGAAGTTAAATTTAGTTGAAAAAGAAAATGAGTATTTGAAAGAAAAAATTAAAAGAATTGAAGAAGAGAAGATGACATTTGAGTTGTCTGTTGCCGATGTCGTCGATGATCACAAGATGAAGATGAATGCAATGTGCTTGAAGATGGATGCAATGCGCCTCAAGCTTAGGAAGATTAGAAAATATGCCATTGATAATGAGGTTTGGTATCATTATGTCGTTGGATCAATCTTTACCTTAGTTGCAATCTTCATCGCATTTGTTGTGATGGGGGTAAGTTTTCTCTAGTGCTTTGCTTAACAAATGCATACTTAGCTTACTTTCCTCCTAAATGGCATAACTACCTAAGTTAGACAAAAAATGAGCTATACTTAGCTTTCTTTCCTAAAAAGTGTCATGATAATCTTTGTTACCTCCAAAATGATATAGACTTACCTTACTTTCCTCGAAAATGACATAATAACCTTAGTAAGCTCCAAAATGATCTATTTACCTAGCTTAGCTCTAAAATGACCTACACTTAGCATTTTTACCTAGCTTAGCAATAAAATGGCATTTTTACCTACCTTAGTTAGAAGAAGAAGAAGATAAAATAGAGGAGAGGAGAAAAAGAAAGAGAAGAAGAAAAAATCTTGTTCTTCCTTTTCTTCTTCTTCTTCTTCTTCTTCTTCTTCTTCTTCTTCTTCTTCTTCTTCTTCTTCTTCTTCTAGATAGTCTTTTTCTTCTAACTTGCTTCTTTCCCAATTTGCATATTTGCTTTAGATGAGGAAGCTTGCGTTGATGGAGTCTACTCTTCTCTTTATGCTTCCTTCTTGTTTTGATTTTGTACGATGAACAATGTCAAACTTGCTACCTATATATGTATGTATGGATGAAACCATTGTATGCTTGGATGAAACCATTTGCTATGTATATGTGTTGGATAATCATACCCATATGGCAGGGATATGATTTGGTATGTATAGGTGTTGGTATGCTTGTCGAAAGTTTTTTCATATGTGTGTGTGTCTATATATATATGTGTGTGTGTGTGTGTGTGTGTGTGTGTGTGTGTGTGTGAAATTCTGTCAAATTGAATGATTTCGAGAAAAACAGAAAAAGCAGGGGCTATCTAGACTCTTTGCCGTCGGCTGACGGACGACAAAGAGGTTTGCCATCAGCTGGCGGACGACAAACGTGACACATGTCAGCTACCTGTGCAACCTGGGGTAGTAGGTTGCCTATTTTGTCGCTTTCGTCAGCCAGCTGACGGCAAAGAACGTTTAATGTTTGCTGTCGGCCAGCTGACGGCAAAGCTACCAAATAGGCCAGCCCCAGGTGCTGCCACGTGGCACTCTTGGCCGTTCACTGGCCGACGACAATGATTCAATGTCATTTTTCGTCCGCCAGTCAACGGCAATGCACGCCGTTAACCCTTTAACGGAACTAAGCTGACACGTGTGCCGTCCAAACTCTTTGTCGTCAGCTGGCTGACGACAAAGACCTTTGTATCTTTGCCGTCCGACAGCCGACGACAAGCCTTTGTCGTAGCCTGTTCAGCCGGACGTGTTGCCGTCAGCTGGCTGATGGCAAAGGCCTTTGTCGTCCGCCATGTGTGCCTTTGCCGTCCGCCATGGCTGACGACAAAGTTCCTGATTCCTGTAGTGTTTCCTCGACTTTTCGAAGTTTCACGACCAAAAGTCTTCTATGTTGCATGTGCAGATTGGGATTGGCATGATTGTTGTTGCCTCGTAAGGCAAGAAGACCTAATCGATCAAGTCCCTGTTCCACCTTGCTTCGGATCCGCTGATGAGCTCACTCACCGGTAGAGTGGGATCTGCAACTAGTAACACAATGGTACGCATGTTTTTCGGCCTCGGGATCCAGTTCATCTTCCAGATTTCGGTAGGTGTTCTGTTGCCTATTCTTCTGATGAGACCTTGCTTCAACACGTCTCGGCCATCTAACAAAGACCGCCAGATTTGAGATGGGTGCGTTCCAATTTCGTCCTCCAGAAACTCCAAGTTAGGAAAGTATGTGGCCTTCAGGATCCTCGCACTTAAAGACTCTGGATTGTCAAGAATCCTCCACGCCTTTCTTAGATCCCCTCCCCCCAACATATATATATTTAGGCATGTACATGGTGTCCCACAATACCCAGTACGGATTCCGTTGTCCATTCTTACTCCCCCACCAGAAAGCTTTAATCATAGAAGTTAAGTGATCACACAATCCTCTAGGCAATTTGAAGCAAGATATAGTTAAAATAGGCACTGCTTGTGCACTGGACTTCACTAAAACCTCCTTGCCTGCTGAAGACAAAACCCTGGCCATCCACCCTTGATTTTTTTTCAAAGTCTCTCTTTTAAGTATTTTTGAAAGTCCCAGTCTTCTATACTCCCACATCAGCCGGCATTCCAAGATACTTCTCATTAAAAAGCTCAGTTGGGACACCCAAAATCTCTTTGTGCCCCCCCCCCTCCCCCCTCTCCACACCTCAGGACAGCCCTTGCTGAAAAATATAGATGATTTTTCTTTGTTTATGCGTTGACCTGAAGCCCTCGCATAGATGCCTAATGAGTAACCTTTCCCGCGAAACAAAAAAAGTTCTCCATCTTTTCCCTGGGCCACGAGGATTCGTTCAAACTGTCCCAGGCC